ACTCTCTACATGACAAAAACTAAAACTTGACCCAGGTCTATCACCATGCACTAAACTAAAGTCAAAATGCATTAAAGATCTAAACACTAGGAGGAACTCTTGAAGACATAGGCAAAGAGTTTATGAACAAAAATCAAATTGTATGGGAAACACGTGAAACCATTAACAACTGGGACCTGCTCTTATTGAGAAGTTTTTGCACGTCAAAAGAAATTACCAACAAAGTGAAAAGACAACCCACACATTTGGAAAAAATCATGACAAATAAGTACTCAGACAAAGGTCTGCTCTCCAGAACTTATAAAGAACTAAAAAACACTAGGGCCCCAAAATTTAAAGACTAAGTCCAGAAATGGGCATCTGAGATGAACACACACTTGTCAGAGGAAGAAATTAAAGAAGTGAATAAATATATGAAAAAATGCTCCACATCACTTTTCATCCATGAAATGCAAATTAAAACAACACTGAGATATCATCTCACCCCAGAAAGAATGGCTATCATAAAGAAATCACACAACTACAAATGTTGGAGAGGCGGTGAGGAAAAAGGAACCCTTCTCCACTGTTCGTGGGAATGTAGACTGGTGCAACCATTATGGAAATCAGTGTGGAGACTCCTTAGAAAAGTTGGACTGGAAATCCCATTTAATCCAGCTATTCCTCTACTGGGAATTTTCCTGGAGGATCTGAAAACATCTTATCATAGTGATACATGTGTGCCTATGTTTACTGCAGCACAATTTGTGATAGCCTAATCTTGGAAACAACCAAGATGCCCATCACCTGAGGAATGGATGAAAAAGATGTGGTATTTTTATACAATGGAATATTACTCAGCTATAAAGAAGGATATACTTGAAGCCTTTATATTTAAGTGGATGCCATTTGAAGATATACTCATAAGTGAAATAAACCAGACACACATGGGTAAATATCGTATAATTTCCCTAGTATAAGAACTCAAAAGAAGAAATACAAATAGAAAGGTATAATACAAGTAAAACGAAAGCAAGAACTCGAGGATTAACTAAGAGAGGGAAAGCAGAAGAGCTAGGAAACATGAGAAGAGGCAAGCCAAACAGTTATATCTAGAAGATGAGTAAGGCAATAATCCTGAGAATCTTCAGAAGATTATTGAATCAAGCAGTTAACTGGAATGATTCTTACTCTGACTAACTATATATACTGACACTTGTGAACTAAGCAACTACACTGAAGATGGCAATTTGTAATAGTAGGTTCATGCTTGGAGTGCCTGTCATTCTGGTCTTCTGCATACAGGCTGCTTGTCATGACATGCCAGTTGCTGCTGTGCTGTCTCTCAGATAGATGACTGTTCAAAAAGAATGGGGTGGTGAATGAAGGCAGGAGACAGCAAAAGGAATGTTGCAGCACTGTCCTGCTTCAATGTTGTATATGGTTAGATTTCAGGACTTATGTGTAAATGTAAGAATTATATAATTCTTTATGCCTATTTTTACAACATATTTTAATTTTTTAAATGTTTTTTCATCATATTCTGTAGGAACTTAAAGTTCAACATATCGGCCAGGGAGATGGCTCAGTGGAATAAGCGCTTCCCTGGGAAGCACAAGGGCATGAGTTCAATCCCCGGTTCCGCAAAAAAAAAAAAAAAAAAAAAAAAAAAAAAAAAAAGTTCAACATATCAATACTTGATGAAAAATACCTGTTCCATGTTAGACCAAAATTAGAGAAAAAGGAGGGCCACAAACAAAGACAACATTTTGGCCCTAGTCTTCCAAGGTCAATTAAGACTCAGGACATATGAGAACTTGTACTCTAATGTCATGTAACTCAGTAGTGTCCCAAATTTTCTGATCAAGATGATTATGGGACCAAAGAGGAAAGTGATCAATGATGTAGAGTGTGCCTAAGAGAGAAAACATTCTCTCAGGCTTTCACAGAGAGTACATTGGCCAAGCAATAGCCGTGACTTATCCACATGGCTGACACTGACAAAGGTTCTACAATCTGAGGTACAGGAGCTCAGCATAAATCCTGAGGGGATTTCACTGAACTTATCAGATCCAAAAGCTACAACTCTTGTTGCATAGGTC